AAAAAAAAAAAAAAGAATGCACATGTGACCATCTTTTTTGCTCTTCCAAGAACAAAGTAGTTGGTAAGGGTATGAATCTTCTGGCTCTCAGTGATAACTGGTTACCATTTATGGAAATAGTGAAGAGAGGTTAGGCATTGGAGGCTCATCTTCCTGTAGCATTGAAAATCAGCCTTTCTTTGCAACATGGTTCAAAAGCTGCCAAGGCCAGCGCTTTATTTTTGTGTTAGTTATTGTCACTATTCAGTGATGGACTTTTAAAATTCATACTAAGCAGTTACATCCGCCTTCCCGTATCTCCATTAACTCGGAGTTGCATAGGTAACAGTGGCGATGGTGGTTCATGGAACTGTAATGGGTAAACTGTCATTGATCAGGCTAGTTTCTTGTTACATCTCCTATTTTACCTATAAATATCCAGAGTTAGGGTAATTTTATAGCAGATCTCAAGCATAAGCCTTTTTATAGGTTCATTTGAAACTAAAAAAAACAGTAATCTTGTGTTACCAGCTTGAACCCAAACAACTTACTTGGTCCTATTCTGAGTTTGGCAACCATTAAGTCGAGTCACGTGTTTTAGTGGAGTCTGGAGGTTGGGTCAGAGAAGAGGCTAAGGCTGGTTAGGACCTATTTTCTGATCTTTATTTTATTCATACCGTTTGATCTCAATTTTTGTAGCATTCCTGTAAAAAATGTTAGATATATGTATATTTTAATTTTATTATTTATCTTTTCGAGACCAGGTCTTGCTCTGCTGCTCTGGTTAGAGTACAGTGGCATGATTATAGCTCACTGCAGCCTTGACCTCCGGGGCTCAGGCAGTCCTCCTACTTCAACCTCCTGAGTAGCTAGGGCTATAGGCATGTGCCACCACACCTGGCTAATTTAAAAAAAAATTTCTTTTATAGGCTTGGGATCTTGCTATGTTTCCCAGGTTGGTCTTGAGCTCCTAGCCTCAAGTAATTCCCACTCCTCGGCCTCCCAAATCGCCGGGATATAGGCATAAGTCACTATGCTTGTCCCAAAACTTTAGATCTTTTAAGATTGCTGTATTGTGAGGACACAG